ATTCTGCTGGGGCTGTGTCCAGAGCTGGAAGGGTGAATTTTTTTGGCTTTTGGTTGTAAGTGAGCCATCACTGAAGGTGGGTAATCCATCCCCTTCCGTGACTGGGCCATAAGAAGCCCCTCTATTTGCTCATTAGGTGCTTGTTTGCTGTTTAATGCCCCCAAAATTACTTCAGGCAGGGCTGTGGCAAATCTTAGAGATATCACTGGCAGCACAGCCATGGGTTGAGGTGACCCAGATTTGGGAAGTGGAGATCAAACACTCTGTTCTGAGGGGATGTGCAGCCAGAAAAGCTGAAGTGGTGGAACAGTTTCACTCTGAGTGGTCTGAAAGAGGCAGGTGTTTCCCCATCAGTGATCTGTGGGATGTGCTGAGCTGTGACCCCCTTGGTGTCACTTGGCCTTTCTCCACTCTCAGGCTGAAGAGGAGGTGGACAAGTGGCCCTGAGGGTCGTGTCCTGCCCCAGTAAGACTGGCTGCTTTCAGATCTACATCTGCTGCACTTCAACCCTCCTTGCTTTCGTGGTGGGCATGTAGACACATGTCTCTTACTCCTCCTTCCTTCCCTCCCCAGCCATCACTCTTCCTATGATAATCAACATATTTCACTTTATTTTCTGTCTGGGTCTGTGTTGAAGGGAAATGGGGTGACAGTGGTTTTATACCTACTAAAAGCAGTGTTTTGGGCAGTAGAAGACCTCCCTCTTTCCTCCCCACAAACCTTCTCCAAGAAGACTCGTTGGTTTGTGCTTCAGCATTCTCTTTCCGAATTATTTTGGAATTCTGCTCGCTGCTTTACAGTTTTCCTGAAGTTCTGATTGTTCCATTTTTTTTCCCTTTTGAGGTTGTAGAGGGAAGGAGTGGCGAGGGGCACACTCTCAGTAAGATACTGAGTCTGGAAAAGATTCTCCCTCCCCGTTTTCAGAGCCCAGCAAACTGTCAGAGCACAGCTGAGGCAGAAATATGTGCAGTGTTGTGTCATGTCCGGGGTGTGAAATGCCCAAATCAGAGATTAAAACCAGCGTGGGCTGTCACCCAACAGGCAGGTCCCAAACTTGGGCTTCTCTTTGAACACTGGGCAGCCAGATCAGGATCCTGCCTTGGGGCTGGAGGCCACCTCTGCTTCAAAACCTATTAGAAATGCTTCAGGGTGTTACAATACGAGGGTTAAAGGTTTAGTTGGTGTCCCAGGCCTGAAGGATGATGTTGTGGTTTAAGCATTTGGACTGGAACCAAGAGATGTGAGATAAATTCCAGGCTCGGTTGTGCACTTCCTCTGCGAGCTCCTGAAAATCGCTGCCTCTCCCTGTGCTCCATCCCCTGCCTGGAAAACCTCGTGCTCTGCTCTCCCCATTTCAGCAGTGAACTTGCAGTGCTGAAAGCTCCTCGTTGGTGGTGCAAGCAATTTTCTGAGAGTCTTAACTCTGGGGTTAAAATAATGCTTTGGCCCCGTGTGCCCACGAGAGAGAAACCCTTTGAAGTTTGAAAGGAAGGGCACAAAAGCTCAGACAAGTTTGAAGGGCATGATGATTAATGCTATTTACTCAGCCTGGTGACAGTGAGGAACAGCCTGGAGCAGAGGGACTGAGGGGTAGCAACACCAGGAAACAAAGGTAGGGTACATTTTTCTCTGGGTTTGGTTGGATGCCCAAGGAATAAATGTCCATCAGCAGTGCTAAAAGGAGGGTGAAGAACCTTGTTTTAGTAAGTTCTGATCGTTGGAATCCACTTATTTGAAGAAGTTCTTTGCAAAGGACAGTCACAATCTGATGGAGAAGACTGGGATGAAGGTTTGTCTCCCTGGTACCTGACATGGGCACTTGCCAGCTTCGTGTTAGGAGGGAAGGGGAGAGGGAAGGACAGTTACTGGGGACTTTCATTAGGTGTGCCAATATCCATTTTCTCATGAATTCATTTGCACCTACTTGTGGCTTTGCATGTCTAGAATAGTTTACAGAATCAGTTGTCCTGTTTTGGATCATTGTGTTCCCTGATTGAAGGTTGGACTCACAGGAACATGACAGCAAAACACCTTTCCCACGTGATTTGTACCCGATGAGATGCCAGTCAAGCATTTTTGTCTTTGCCTTGGCTCTCAGAGGGCTGCTTAGCTCAGAGCTCCCTGCACCAGTGGCCAAGGGAACGAGCCTTCCATGGAATAATGCAGCAGGAATGTGTAGGTGTGTGCACATGTTCTCCCCAGAGGGCACACAGCAGGCAGGGGCAGCTCTGGGTAGGGATGGGCAGCCTGGGGGAGAGAAATGTGCACCCTTGGTGTTCCCCAGGAGATGCTGAGTCCTGATGAACGTGGTTGTCCAGGGGCTGGCACACCTCCCCACCCACTGAGGTCGTTCCCATTCCCACTGATCCTTCTTCTGGCTAAAATTTGCCTTTGCTCAGCTTGGTCTCTTTGTTGCAGCTTTGGTTTCAAGGTGGAAGAGGGCAGACTTCTTTTCTCTGTAGGATTTCATGTGGATGCCCACGTAGAGGACAAAATTTCTTGCTGGAAAGCCTTGACAGGTGTGAAAAATGTAACCCAGCCCATTCCTGACGTGTGACTCTGTTCCCCACTTGATGCACTCGACCTGCTCTTGGACAGTGTAGCAGCTTTTACTCCAAGTACAACATCAAGCCCAGCACAGTCTTGGGTCAGGTTTGGGCTGTTGCTTGGCAGGAACTGAAATTCTGCATATCTTGTGTCTGGTTTCATTGCTCCCCTCGAGGTGCAGTTCCAAACACCACTCCTGCCTGGGTCTGGCTCTCACACTGGACCCAGAGCTTGAGGCTTTTGGTCTCTTTTGGACTTTTGGTGAGACTTTGTCCATGTTGTGGTAGCACCCCACTGCTGGTGCCTGCAACATGATGATGTCCCTGGCCTGTCAGGTAGCAGGGAGGTGTGTTTTGCCTGCTCTGGGAGGAGATTGGAGTAGTTTTCGTTTACTTTCCTGTCACTTGGGGCCAGCAGTGGTGAGGCAATAAAAAAACCCCACAGCCATTAGTAGGTGCAAGGTAGGTCTGTCAGAGAAACTGCAGAATGGAAGTGGCCTCCTGAATTAAATGACCTGAGCTGCATTTACATCACATTAGATGAACCCTTAAGTGGTCCAAAACTGCTGTTGTCTCAGACCTGCTGTAAGTGTGACTCTGTAGCTCATTAAATAAGACATAGTGTCTTCTGCCTTGCAGTCCAACCATGGCACAGTTTGATATATTCCCATTTTTTACTCCTTGGAAGAAACAGAATTTGCTGTGAATACAGTTTCCAGTGAAAGCAAATGATGTTTGCACAGGTTTTTCTAGATGGTTGTGCCTTGGCTAGAAGTTAGAAACAAGTGGGGTATTCTCCTTTTCTGCTGGTGATTCAGCCTATTCTGAATGGATGCTCCCAAACAGTTCCTTTCTCTAGATGACTTTAAAAGCAGGAAGGGGTTGCTTGTACCAGGTTGGAGGAATTATCCCAAAATATTTGCTCGAGGGGAAGCAGCTCTCAGACCCCCTGCAAGGATTTTATCTCCTCGACTTCAGATTACCCAGTTCAAATGCTCAGATAATGACACGTGTCACGATGATAAAAAAGTGTGACTGCAAAGAGTAACGTTTAAAAATAATGATACACCTCTAACTAGGTCTTATAAAAGGAAATCTTAAATAGCTAGAGAGAAACAGATGCTTTGGGGGACTTGTGGATAAAAATAGTGGCTTCCAATTTGCAACCAAAACAAAAAATGTGGCCCCACTTAGTCAACCTCAGCACTCGAAATTCCTCTGAGAATGTTAGGGCCCAAAACTGGGAATGCATGAAAAAGTACCTGGTGCTGCATCTGCAGGGGGTTTTAGTGTATTTTTGCCTCTTCAGCTTTTCATCGTGGAATCACTCAGTGGTTTGGGTTGGAAGGGAATTTAAAGCTCATCCAGTCCCACCTCTGCCATGGGCAGGGACACCTTCCACTAGCCCAGGTTGCTCCAACCTGGCCTTGGACACTTCCAGGGATGGGGCAGCCCCAGCTTCTCTGGGCAACCTGTGCCAGGGCCTCCCCATCCTCACAGGGAAGGATTTCTTCCTGATATCCAATCTAAACTTATTCTCTTTCATTTTAAAGTGATTTTTCTTGCTACTTCTCAGCTTTCTCTCCATATTGCTGCCTTGAAATGCCCTGCCTTACTGATGGCTTAGTGGTCTGAGACCTGTGGATTCTGTTTTCCTTGGAAAGACTCTCAGGCTGTGTCCAGGCTGTGCAGACACGAGCGTGTCCCCGTGGTCAGGATGGATTTTGAGAGCAGGGGTGCAGATCTTTGCTGGTATTGAGCTGTTCCTTTCGGTGGGGTTGCTCAGGGCTCAGTCCTCTCCTTGCTGGTGAAGGGCTGGAGCAGCCTCAGCAGAGCTGGGGGGATCTGCTGTGCAGGAGGAGAGTTTTCAAAGGAGAACTACAGATGGCTCGCTGGAGGCAAAGGCAAAGAACATCTTCCCAGCTCACCTGGACGGGCTGAAGGTCTGAATGTCTGCAGGCAGCTCACCCAGGGGGCAGGAGTGTGTGAGCAGCCCTGAGCCAGCTCAGTGGTTGCTTAGGTCTGTACCATTTTCACTGATTTTAAGATAAAATGACTGTTTTTTCACTGGCATGAGGAGCTGTGGCATGATCCCATCTCCTGGCCCTGCTGTAGAAGTGAAAACCTCCTTCAGGAGCTGCAACAGCACCTTAAACCTCATTTCAGCTGTTTGTAAGTGTGTGGACCTGAACCTTTGGGGTGCTCAGACTCCTCCTTTTTGGGCTTGGAGCATCACTCTGTACAAGGGAACTGAGCAAGCAAGGGAAAAGGGAATGTTTATTTTGTGTGCTTTTGTTTAACTTAAAAACCCCCTAGAACGTGAGAAAAAATGGTTTGGGTTTTGTTTTTTTTGTTTTTTTTGATGATGATTTCTACTTTTTCCTTACTTGTTAGGGCAACCCCCAAACCTTAAAGGAATGGTTTTAACTTATTGATTTGGTATTTTTGTTTTAGGTGGCCCTTCCCAAACAAAGACAAGCAGTCAGGTGAGTCAAATTTTCCACTTTTCAGTAGATCTGTGGAAGAGAAATGAGAAATCATGAGGGGAGGCAACACTAGACTCCTCTGAATTTCAGGGAGTGAGGTTCAGGGGGGCTTAGTGTCCACTTAGTAGCCACTTGAGCATTAACACCCCAAGGGGCATTTTTAAAATACACATTTCATTCTCTAACTCGTGCAGTGGCACAAATTCACTTGCTTTGGAGCTGGAATTTAGCAGTTGGAGCTTTCTGGTTTTCTCCTATGTCCGTAATGTGTCATTTGGAGCTGAAAGGAAGGGACCCTGCCAGAACTGGCTGTGATAAAAGTCTGATGAGTGAGACTGTCATTAGATTAAGTGGAGGAAAGCAGGAGAGTTGTTCCTGCTGCCCAGTCTCTCCTTTCTCCACACGATGCTGAGAGTCCAACTCTTAACTTTTTTTTTTTTTGGTCAGAATTCTTACATTGTCCCCTCTTTATGCCTTGTCAAGAGCATTAGTCACAGTTCCCCATTTGCATCTTGGGTTTCAGCTGAGACAAAGCCCGTGGGACGTGTGGCTGCTCAGCACCCTCACCCCTTCCTGAGCACAGGGCTCCAGCCCCTCACAGGAATATGAGTGCTGGGGCAGGGAATGAGGGTTTGGTGCATTCCCAGCACATGGGAATGCTCCTCCTGGATGGGGTGGCACCGTGGCCTGGCAGTGACAGGGGCAAGGAATCGCTTCTCCTGCCCTTTTGCTGGAGATGATGCTCTTTGGGGCACTTTGGGTTCCCCTTCTGGAATATGCTGAGCAAAACCCCTCAGTCACAAGATCCTGGAATGGTTTGGGTTTGAAAGGACCTTGAAGACCATCTCCATCTGACCCCTTGCCATGGGTAGGGCCACCTTCCACCAGCCCAGGTTGCTGAGTGGGAGCTGAAAGCAGGGGAATGCTCTGGGAGCAGCTCCAAGGCACAGCCCATGAAATTGGCTTTTCCTGTAGATTACTGGATTCCTCATGTGAGGATGGAAATCCCCCTCTCGTGAAATGCAGGGCACAAAAGGAGCAAAAAAGCAGGTGTTGAGTGATCACACTGAGCTGTCCATCAGCAGGAGAGGATTTGGGGTTGTGAGAGATGGGAAGAGGGCTTGAAGAAAGAGGTGGATTTCCTGCACCCAAATCAGGAGACAGGAAAAAAAAAAACCAAACCCACTAAATTTAATTGTGTCTTGGACAAGGTCAACAGGCACCGTGCACGAATAGTTCAGGCTTTGATTTAATCTCCCTGTAAGCAGAAGGTGAAAATATTATATCCAAATACAGGTGAAAATATTATATCTAAATGTCTGGGTTGGGAACATGCACACCAGGGGCTGAAGAGGGGAGGGGGGGGAAGAAAAAAGGTCGTTTAATATGTATATATGACCCCACTGTGCTGAGAGAATGAGCCCCGAGCGTGTGGTGGCAGCGAGTGGGTCCCACATTGTTGGATCTGGCAGGGATTCAGACATCTGCCAGGGGCTGGGGATTTTGTCAGGAGAAGTGGGAGAGGGAGACGCAGCAAGAGCTCGGGGAGCCTTTGCAGCTCTGCTATCTCAGCCCGGATCACACTTCCTCTTTAAAATTCCCTTACTAAGCTCGGCTCCTATATTTTATATTCAGCAGCAAGGTTCCCGCCCTCCCCCCCCCCTCCTCCCCAGCCCTCCCCACCCACCACCATCCTCTCTGCCTTTAACTTGTTAAGTTTGAAAGATGATCCATACACACAGTTTGCTTTGCCAGTCAGCCCGTTTAAGGCCAAGATTAATGCAGTGCATTGGTGCAATCGTGCCGCAGTGGTGCGTGATCGGAATACGAGATGGAATATGGGGGGAAAGGCCAGAAATGTGCCTCTATTCCGAGTTTACACAAGTCTCCTTAGCAACTTGTCTGGTTATTTTATTTTTTTCCCTCATTTTTTCGCTGAGGGGGGGGTTGTGTGTGTGTGTGCAGGAGCGTTGTCCCAAATAGCCAGCGAATAAAACATTCCCCGAGTTTTTAAACAGCTTCACTTGATGGTCCCGTTGTTGTTTTTCCCTTCCCCTTTTCCTTTTGTTAAATTAGTGGCTTAAATTTTTTTTTTTTTCCTTCTTTCCCCCCCAGAGAGAGGAGGGTACAGGGGGAGACTCAGGCTGGGGGTGGGGGCACTGTAATAGTTTTCATTGTGACTTCCAGAGAGTTGGTTTCTTTCCAGTTGTTCACATCTCAGCATGTGGAATTATTGTGCTTTCTCCCGACTTGCCACAGAATTGGCAGTGGCCTGACATTGTTAGTCATTTGAATTGTATTTGGAGCTGGGCTGATTTTTTTTTTATTTATTTATTTATTTAATTTTTATTTATTTTTAAATAACAATCATCGCAATCCGCCTCTTTACTTATTTCGAAAGGGCTCCTTTTATTTTGCAAATATGCACCATGTATCTTCTAGTCCGTAAAATGGAGGAGAGGGGGAAAAAAACCCCAAACCACCAGGGTGAGAGGACTGTGGCAAGACTGTCCCCGAATCCCATATTCCCCTCCCCGTGCCATTTTTTTTAGTTGCCTCCTGAAGAACCCCCTCCCTCCCCGTAGGAGGGAGTGGCCTTTTAGGGATCAAGGTACGTTGGATTCTGGTTTTTTTTCCCCCAGTTTGTGTGATTCTTTATTAATAGCATGGGGCAAGAGAGAGGCTGTAGGGTGGGGAGAGCAGGGGAGGAGGGTGGAGAGAAGCAAAGAGTTCTCCTCGAGTCCTGTACCTTGAAATAACTCAAGGGGAAAAGAGTTGCTGCCTCACTCGAGTCGCTTCAAAACCTTGCTGGGTGCTTTGACTTTTTCTTTTACTTCTATTTTTCTCCCTTTTTTTTTTTTTTTTTTACCCTTTTCCAAGCTTTCCAGGGGGAGGGGGTAGAAAAAGAAAAATAAAAAAAAAAGAAACTGAGCCAAAAAAATTTTGAAGGCTCGATCTTGGCTTCTGTACAAACAGATGTTGCCTGTCATTCCGTTGTTAAGCAGGCAGCAGATTGGAGCAAGCAGCAGCAGTTTAGGGGGAACTGCAGCAGAACTGGAAAGAGGGAGGTATACAGATATATAAATACATTTTTCTTCTTTTCTGTTTTTTTTTTTTTGTTTTATTCTACACACAAATATTTTTTCCCCCTGGAATTATCTCTAATTACGACACGTCTGTTTTCATTCGTTTGTTTTTTTTTTTTTAAGTGGGCAAAACCAAAC